CAAAATGTTAAAATTGGACAACTTTTCTTAATAAAATCAACCATGACGGAAGTACTAAAACTGATGGAGGAAGATGTTATGGATAAAAAATGTTCCTAATGTATCGAAAAATCATAATCCATAATTATATCATATTTATCTATCACCGGTTTCTAATAATGTGGCATAAATTACAAAATGTCAAAATTTGACGATTTTTCTTAATAAAATCAACTATGACAGAAGTACTAAAACTGATGGAGAAAAACGTTATGGATAAAAAATGTTCCTAATACACCAAAAAAATCATAATCTATACTTATTTCATATTTATCTACCACTGGTTTCTAGTGATGTGGCATAAATCACAAAATGTCAAAATTGGACGACTTTTCTTAATAAAATCAACTATGACAGAAGTACTAAAACTGATGGAGAAAAACGTTATGGATAAAAAATGTTCCTAATGCATCAATAATTTATAATCCATACTTATTTTATATTTGTCTATCATTGGTTTCTAGTGATATAGTATAAATTATAAAATATCAAGATTAGACGATTTTTCTTAATAAAATCAACTATGACGGAAGTGCTAAAAAACTGATGGAGAAAAACGTTATGGATAAAAATGTTCCTAATGCATCAAGTTCATTAGTTTTAGTATTAGTTCAATAAAAATGTATAACAATCTAGCACTGAATAACAAGTAAAACAAGAATTAACCCGAATCTTTCAGGTCTAGTGTTAATTCTAAGATGTTTAAAATGACCTGAGGAACACGATGAGTGTACACAATTCAAATTTGGCAGTAGCAATGTATTAGGCATATTGTTATTGAACTGTAACTAGAACTAACACTAGACCTAGAACTAGAAACATTCGGGTTTAAGCGTGCTTCTGAGGATGCTAGTTTTGTACTAGCACTATCACTAAAACTAACACAAGCCCAATAACTTGAATCATCCGGGTTTAGCCGTCTTGAGAGACGTGCGGCTAAATACGAATGTTTCTAGTTCTCGGTCTAGTGTTAGTTCTAATTTTGTACTAGCACTATCACTAGAACTAACAAAAGACCAATAACTAGAATCATTCGGCTTTTGCACTATCATTAGAACTTACACAAGATCTAGAACTAGAATCATTCGGATTTAGCCGTCTTGAAAGACGTGAGGCTAAATCCGAATGTTTCTAGTTCTCGGTCTAGTGTTAGTTCTAGTTTTACACTAGCAATAAAACTAAACTAACACAAGACCTAGAACTAGAATCATTCGAATTTAGCCGTCTTGAGAGACGTGCGGCTAAATCCGAATGTTTCTAGTTCTCGGTCTAGTGTTAGTTTTAGTTTTACACTGGCACTATCACTAGAACTAACACCAAACCTAGAACTAGAATCATTCGGATTTAGTCGTCTTGAAAGACGTGCGGTTAAATCCGAATGTTTGTTAACATTAATATTCGTGCAAAATATTTAAAATATTCATTTAATTTTATTCATTATTAAATTTTTCTTCCAAATGTCATTTTATCAATGCCATAGCAACTTTTTTAACACTTTAATTCTACTCGTGTTACCACTAAAAACTATGTTTAACTTCTATAGCGAGAAAACATGTAATGTGTAAGTTAATGTGATTCTTAAGTTGAACAGTTGCAATATACCTATAGTTGATCAGGCAAGGAATCTTGGGCCAGTTGTTGATAATGCCTTTAGGTACAAACAGGACATTACTAAAATATTAAGTGTTTGCTTTTTGAAATTGAAACTATCCTATTCTTTCAAAGATATTTTTAATTTAAAAATGAAAAAGATGCATTGTGAATGTTTTGTTCTGTCTTTGCTTAATTATTGTATTCCTTTAAATATAAAAAAATTGAGAATTCCGAAGAATGAAATTTATTTGTTCTCAACTACCGGTTTCGGAAAAAGTTTCCGTCATCAGGTTGTTGTTACAAAACATGAGTAAAAGTTTTTTTTAATTTACAAAAACACAAACATGAGATATTGTATTCCTGTCTACTATCCATGTTTGGATTCCATGACAAAATTCCATGACTTCTTGTTTGCTTGAGTAGTGAATCAATCTAATTTTAATGCAAGTGGAATAATTTATTCTGTTTTATTACATTATATTATTTTTCATATTTTTATTGCTCATATATAAGATAGATTATAAGTCAATCATACAGAATCTATTAATAGTTTTAGTTTTAGGAGTAGATATGTACTAGGAACGAATAAAAGTGTAATTATTTTAAGGTTAAGTGAACTGAACTTCGCGTTAGGATTTCCAGCTGTTTTGTATTTAAGTTATTTTTCTTTTTAAATATTCTCTTCTCGATATCTCGTCATCTATCCGCTTAAACAAAATCTGCAGCAATCTTCTTTTCATGGGTATCTCGTAGCGCATATTAAATTCTCTTAAATTACTCTTAATTATTATTATTCTTCATTACTCTTCAAATGACAAGATAACTCAATCATTTTTAATTACTCAAAGTAACGCAAAATAGTGATCGACTTTCATTAAACTTCTACGTAGCAGCTTCTATGTAGCTATTTTTGAGATTTTTGTTATAATCATTAAAAATAAATTATAATTAGTTGTTTTTACATATTTCGGTGATTATCATCATCAGGGAACTAAAAATTAACATTAAAACACAGCTGATTATGATTATTATCTTTTTGAGGTAAATTTTAAACAATTTCTAACAATTTTTATTCCTTGGTTGATATTATTAAAAAATTTTTAACAATTATGAACGATTTTTAATAAATCTTAACGATTTCTAACAATAATTATGTTGATAATTCCTATTTTTTTGGTAATAATTCATCGCGAAATAACTTTATCATTCGGCTGATGATAGATTTAAACTCGAAATCGGTTAACTTCTACGTAGCAGCTTCTATGTAGCTATTTTTGAGATTTCTGTTATAATCAATAATAATAAATTATAATTAGTTGTTTTTACATATTTCGGTGATTAATTACCATCATCAGGGAACTAAAAACTAACATTAAAACACAGCTGATTATGAGTATTATCTTTTTGAGGTAAATTTTAAACAATTTCTAACAATTTTTATTCCTTGGTTGATATTATTAAAAAAATTTTAGCAATTATGAACGATTTTTAATAAATTTTAATGATTTTTGACAATAATTATGTTGATAATTCTTATTTTTTCGATAATAATTCATCGCGATATAACTTTATCATTCGGCTGATGATAGATTTAAACTCGAAATCGGTTAACTTCTACGTAGCAGCTTCTATGTAGCTATTTTTGAGATTTCTGTTATAATCAATAATAATAAATTATAATTAGTTGTTTTTACATATTTCGGTGATTAATTACCATCATCAGGGAACTAAAAACTAACATTAAAACACAGCTGATTATGATTATTATCTTTTTGAGGTAAATTTTAAACAATTTCTAACAATTTTTATTCCTTGGTTGATATTATTAAAAAATTTTTAGCAATTATGAACGATTTTTAATAAATTTTAACGATTTCTGACAATAATTATGTTGATAATTCCTATTTTTTTGGTAATAATTCATCGCGAAATAACTTTATCATTCGGCTGATGATAGATTTAAACTCGAAATCGGTTAACTTCTACGTAGCAGCTTCTATGTAGCTATTTTTGAGATTTCTGTTATAATCAATAATAATAAATTATAATTAGTTGTTTTTACATATTTCGGTGATTAATTACCATCATCAGGGAACTAAAAACTAACATTAAAACACAGCTGATTATGATTATTATCTTTTTGAGGTAAATTTTAAACAATTTCTAACAATTTTTATTCCTTGGTTGATATTATTAAAAAATTTTTAGCAATTATGAACGATTTTTAATAAATTTTAACGATTTCTGACAATAATTATGTTGATAATTCCTATTTTTTTGGTAATAATTCATCGCGAAATAACTTTATCATTCGGCTGATGATAGATTTAAACTCGAAATCGGTTAACTTCTACGTAGCAGCTTCTATGTAGCTATTTTTGAGATTTCTGTTATAATCAATAAAAATAAATAATAATTAGTTGTTTTTACATATTTCGGTGATTAATTACCATCATCAGGGAACTAAAAACTAAATTTTTAATTATTTAATAATTTTTTTGATAATAATTCATCGCGATATAACTTTATCATTCGGCTGATGATGGATTTAAACTCGAAATCGGTGTCCTCCATTAATCCTTTGAGATAATGAGATAATTTATGTTAAATCGTAGCTTGACCTCAATCATCAATAACATCTTTGCGAATTAAATTTTTTTTAATAAAGAGTGAATCATCTAAGTAGCAAGTTACCTTGAAATCAATAAGAAAAGTTACTACCGGGCTTTTAAATTAATTACTAAGAGAATCGTGCTCGAGAACGTTGCGTTGGTGAGTTGAGTTCATTAATTCCGCTTCCGTGATTATCTCATCATACCTAATACGTGGAGTTTACAAGTTGTTTTTCTATTTATTCAAATTTGTGTTCTTGTAATTTGAAGGAAATTCTATGAAATTTTTTCTGGGTATTCCATCTTATGTTTGGGATGATTTCGGGGGGGTTCGTATCCAATCGAATCGCGCGTACGATGGGAGCACCTTTAAAAACTTAATCAAGAGAAGCTCCAACGAAAAGGAGTTTAAGACGAAGATAGATTCTTTCTTCGCCCTTCATCCCGCTTGCATCCATAGTCAACGTCGTCGTCGTGGACGCGCGTTTAAACCAACCACCTCCTTCTTCTTCTTGAATCGTACCTCTCCTCTACCACCCCGCGTCGCCATCCTTCTTCTTCGTTTCTTCTCTTCTTCCTCCTTACGGACCCCTAGCATAAGAAACACCGCTTCAGGAAGCCGCCAGTCAACTCCCGTTCGCGAACGATTTTCGTTCTTACGGCGATTGAGGTTATGGCGTTCCCGGTGTGTTGGTAGGCATGGCCAAAAGTGCTGCCGCGGCGGGGTAAGAGACGGCCGCGAGCACACTACCGCACCATCATTGGGCTACCATCGGCACTTTATAACAGAAGCATTCAACTCCTGGAGGTTTCGACTGGGCGACGAACGAAGGAGCGGAGGCTCTCCCAAACGACGGCCAGTATCCATCAATACACACACCGAGAAGAAGTGTTTTCTCTTCAGAAGAAGTAGTCAACTTTAACCTTCCTCATTAAAGAAAAAGTTTCATTCCGAGGAAAACTTTTTTTGAAACGAATTCAATTCAAAATTTTAAAATTTTTAACAAAAAGAAGTGAGAAGAACGAAATTTTGTTTGATTTCATCAAGGTTAGTAAGATTTTTATTTTATTTTATAAATTTTTTTAAAAAAGTTGAAGCAAAAAAAGTATAAAGAAGGCCGTGACCGAAACAAATTACAATCGCGCGAGTAACACGGTGGCTCCCCACTCCGCAACTCATTCCATTTCGTTTTCGCTCTCTTTCTATGTATTTTTTGTTGTAATGTATAGTAAAACAAAACTAACTTGGTATTGACGCTACGAGTGAGTGAGAAAATGGTGCGATGAGCGCGATGGAGAGAAAGAGAGATTGAGTGTAATTCGAGTAGCCGTTAAAAGTAGGCCGCGCGTAACCCCGGTAGTTTAGCTTGGGGGCCACGCGCGGCGCTGCGGCTCGTCCGAGGTAATTCCCCGTTTAATTGGCCGATGTACCCGGTAGCCGGCGGCCAATCGGAACAAAGTCGTCGCCTTCTCATCGTCTCTTCTTCTTACCCCGGTCTCTTTATATCTCTCTCTTTTCATTTTCCCCCCTCGCGACCCCGTTCCGTTCGTTACGTGACCGGTAGCGCCAACCGCGGGGTGCCCGAGCATTAAAAACTTACAACTTGACGTAATTACAAACTTTGAAATCATTTTGGGCGCGCCTTAAATATTAAAAAAAATCTTATAATCGAATCGAGACAATGATGACGAGATTGAGGTTATGGTAATGTGGTTACGCCCTTTGGTCATTGTCGATTGTAAATAACAGGGCGATTTTTTTTTTAAACAATCATTTTTTTGTTCCGCCTACTTAAAACATAAAAAAAATGACAAAAGAAAATTTCAACGCACTTATCTAAACGTTCGATCGTCTTTTGTCAAAGATGTGTCAAAGATGTCTTAAAGATGTCTTAAAGATGTCTCAAAGATGTATCAAAGATGTATTAAAGATCTTAGCACCTTTTTATTTTGCGCAGTCATCGTTTTATTATCATAACCTAATAGGTGTCATTCTTATGTCATTATACCATTGTGTTTTTATCACCCCCATCTAAGATTTACATTAAAAAAATTTAATTTAAAACTTTTTGCGCGCGTACGACTCTGGTTTTATGAACAGGGCCGTAATAATTTTATCTCAATTATTTTTGTACTAACTAAAACGTGATTCAAACTTTTATGATGTATCAAAGATGTCTCAAATATGTATTAAAACCCTTAATATTAGTTTTGAACCTAATTTTTTTATATTTTGCACAATCATCGTTTTATTATCATAACCTAATACGTGTCATTCTTATGTCATTATAGTGTTTTTATGTTTGATTTATATAAAAAAATTTAAATTAAAATTTTTTGAGCGCGTACGGCTCTGTTTTTATGAACAGGGCCGTAATAATTTTATCTCAATTTTTTTTGTGCTAAGTAAAACGTGATTCAAACTTTTATGATGTATTAAAACCCTTAATATTCGTTTTGAACCTGATTTCTTTTTATTTTGCACAATCATCATAACCTAATACGTGTCATTCTTATGTCATTATAATGTTTTTATCTTTGATTTACATAAAAAAAATGAAAAATGTATGTATAACCAATTAAAATATCAATTTGAGTCATAATACACAATGCTGTTTTATCTTCACCAACTGTAAGTAAAATGCCGAGGCACTGCCTCTATATATTTCACCATCTATACTGCCTCGTCCACAACCAACCTCGTTTTCTTCAAATAGCATTTTTATTACGGAATAATAAAAAAGGGTTTTTTTCTAAATTTGGAACAGCCAAAAAAAAGTGAAAAAAGTTTCATGATTTTCTCTTCATTTGAGGTAGAAAAATAGCAATAGCCATGCGTAACCATGGCAACCAGTTGTTTCAAACATTATATTAGACAATGATTAATTTTTGATAAAAAATCTAAATCTTTAGATCCGTCTCAACGATTTTTCAATAAATTGTTGTTAATGGTTTTACCGAATTTATCTGTTACTTTTGGGAAATCCTGTATAAAGTCGAGGCGCTGCCTCAATTCCATTATTGTTCTCTCCTACACTGCCTCGGCCGCAAGCGACCTCGGAGTTAATCTCTAATAATCAATTAAAATATAACTTTATGTCATTATTTAAGAAGTTTTTTTTTACATAACAAGGTTGTGATGTTTTATCTTCATTAACTGAAATTATAAAGTCGAGGCGCTGCCTCAATTGCATTTGACCCTTATTGTTCTCTCCTACACTGCCTCGGCCGCAAGCGACCTCGGCTTTAATCTCTAATAATCAATTAAAATATAACTTTATGTCATTACTTAAGAAGTTTTTTTAGTTGTGATGTTTTATCTTCATTAACTGAAATTATAACGTCGAGGCGCTGCCTCAATTACATTTCATTCTTATTGTTCTCCCCTACACTGCCTCGGCCGCAAGCGACCTCGGCTTTAATCTCTAATAATCAATTAAATTATAACTTTATGTCATTATTTAAGAAGTTTTTTTAGTTGTGGTGTTTTATCTTCATTAGCTAAAATTATTAAGTCGAGGCGCTGCCTCAATTCCATTATTGTTCTCTCCTACACTGCCTCGGCCGCAAGCGATCTCGGCTTAAATCTCTTATAACCAGTTAACATGTTTATTAATAGCAAGGTTGTGATGTTTTATCGTCACTAACTGAAATAAGAAGCCGAGGCGGTGCCTCGATTGCATTTCACCATTATTATCTATACTGCCTCGGCTGCAAGCAACCTAGGAATTAAACTCTTATAACCAATTAAAATATAAATTTGAGTCATAAATATCTTCACCAACTGTAAGTAAAATGCCGAGGCACTGCCTCTATATATTTCACCATCTATACCTCATTCACAACCAACCTCGTTTTCTTCAAATAGCATTTTTATTACGGAATATGAAAAAGGTTTTTTTTCTAAATTTGGAACAGCCAAAAAATTAAATTAATAATTTAAAACTTTTTACGCGCGTACGACTCTGGTTTTATGAACAGGGCCGTAATAATTTTATCTCAATTTTTTTTGTACTAACTAAAACGCGATTCAAACTTTTATGATGTATCAAAAATGTCTCAAATATGTATCAAAAATGTATTAAAACCCTTAATATTCGTTTTGAACCTAATTTTTTTTATTTTGCACAATCATCATAACCTAATACGTGTCATTCTTATGTCATTATAGTACTTTTATCTTTAATTTACATAAAAAAAATTCAATTTAAAATTTTTGCGCGCGTACGACTCTGTTTTTATGAACAGGGCCGTAATAATTTTATCTCATTTTTTTTTACTAAGTACAACGTGATTCAAACTTGCTATTGTATTCAAATCGAGGAATTTACCGCCGCGTTCGATCGATTATTATTAATAATAACAACCGTACAGTATTGGGATCGTCCCAGGAAAAGGTCGGGTTGGGTCGTATAACAATGGCGATGTAAAAAAAACGTTTGCGCATCTTTAAGAGGTCGTTGAATGTAACATTTTCAGTGAAAGTATTCGATATAAAAGTAATTTAATCATAAAATTTTTTTATTAATGCTGTAAGAATGCAAATTAAATTGATGTTGTATTGTTGACTCATTTTACAGCTTCTGTTTAAAAAACTAAAAATAATCTCCGTCGATAAAAGGCCTTAACCTTTCCTATTGTTTTAAAATAAACGTTTTCCCGGAGAAACGTGACGTTATTCTTTTCAATTTTTTTGCGTTAAAGTTTATATGTGCCATATGGTTTTAAGATTTAGACGTCATATTTTAAGATATCCGTATTCGCTAGAAAAAGTACCATTTCAATTTGTTTTTACGTCAATTAATGATTAAGCAATGATATTTACATAATTATTAAAAAAAAATTTGAATTAATACAACCCTGCCTAAATAAACAGGGTCGTAATTTTTAATTTTCTTTTTATCTAAATTAATAATTTTAATTTTTTTATCTTTATTTCCAGGTCGACAAATAATTTCTCAACTCTAACAGACAGCGTGTCTCCATCAACTAAATTATAAAAGTTAATTTAACACAGATTTTTATCGAGATACTCGACTTATATAAAAAAAATATCGTTCTTATAAAATAAAATTCTTTATTAATACTTAATTAAAAGAAAATTTCCAAGACGACGACTTTTACGAAAAGGGCGGCGGAAAAAGTTTTACGCGCATCACTAATAATTAGTCATCATCATCGTCGAAGTTTGTCGGTTTTTTTCAATCGCGGCTCGTCTCCGTTTCGAGATAAAATTTATAGCGCAACAACATGTTCGCGATAATGCAGTTGGAGAGCGACGTTAGCGGTCGAGAATTCAGAAGGAAGATGAGACCAAAGTGCGAATTCATTTGCAAATACTGTCAACGTAGATTCACCAAGTCCTACAACTTGATGATCCACGAGAGAACCCACAAAAGTCCTGATTTGACGTTCAGCTGCCAGGTCTGCGGGAAAAGTTTTATGAGACAAGATAATCTCAAACAACACAGGTAAAAACAAGCTTTTTTTATTACTTTTTCTTTCATTTGAGTGATTAAAATGTTGTTTTTTTGATTTTAATAATTTCGGCTAAATCGTTTAAAAATCAAAATAAAATTAGGTAATTTTTTTAAAGTGATGTGAATCCAGATGTGTATTGAAAAAGCTGTATAAACTTTGAGTTGTAAACACCAGATGTTGTTACTTGCTACTTGAGGTTTTCAACGTGATTTCTTAAAATACTTCAAATTTCAATCAATTAATTCATTCATTTCAACATTTCAACGTTTTTTAGTTATTGCACATTAAGTTATATATTCTTCTTCAATGTTCTTATTGTTATTGAGTTGAGTACAAAAACTTTCTTAACTTTATTTATTAGTTGTGTTCTATTTCTTAATCAATTTCATTTTCTATCAATAAAGACAGTCTCTGAACTGTTAAGATTTCATTTACTTTTGAACATAATAAAATTATGACAAGGCCGTGATGTTTCATCGCAATCCTAACTGTAATAAGAAGCCGAGGCGTTGCCTCGATTGCATTCCACCTTTATGGGTCTTCTCTATACAGCCTCGGTAAGCTCGCAAGCGAAGTCGGCGTTAAACTCTCATGACCAATTAAAATATAAATTTGTCATGATGTTTTATCTTCAGCAACTGTAAATAAAATGCTGAGGCACTGCCTCGTTCAAAACCAACCTCATTTTCTTCAAATAGCAATCCCTCATTTTTATTACGGAATATGCAAAAATTAATATTAGTTACATAAAAAATTTTTCGAGAAATATAAAAATAGCAATAGCCATGCGTAACCATGGCAACCGGTTGTTAAAGATATTTTATTAAGACAATGATTAATTTTTGATATCTGAAACGATTTAGACCCGTCTCAGTTCCACAAAGTATTTTTAATGGTTTTACCGAATTTATTCATTACTTTTGGGAAACCCTGTATAAAGTCGAGGCGCTGCCTCAATTACATTTCACCCTTATTATTCTCTCCTACACTGCCTCGGCCGCAAGCGACCTCGGCTTTAACCTCTAATAATCAATTAAAATATAACTTTGTATCATTACTTAAGAAGTTTTTTTTACATAACAAGGTTGTGATGTTTTATCTTCATTAACGGAAATTATAAAGTCGAGGCGTTGCCTCAATTGCATTTGAACCTTATTGTTCTCTCCTACACTGCCTCGGCCGCAAGCGACCTCGGCTTTAATCTCTAATAATCAATTAAAATATAACTTTGTGTCATTACTTAAGAAGTTTTTTTTACATAACAAGGTTGTGATGTTTTATCTTCATTAACGGAAATTATAAAGTCGAGGCGTTGCCTCAATTGCATTTGAACCTTATTGTTCTCTCCTACACTGCCTCGGCCGCAAGCGACCTCGGCTTTAATCTCTAATAATCAATTAAAATATAACTTTATGTCATTATTTAAGAAGTTTTTTTTTACATAACAAGGTTGTGATGTTTTATCTTCATTAACTGAAATTATTAAGTCGAGGCGCTGCCTCAATTCCATTATTGTTCTCTCCTACACTGCCTCGGCCGCAAGCGACTTCGGCTTAAATCTCTAATAATTAATTAAAATATAACTTTGTGTCATTACTTAAGAAGTTTTTTTTTACATAACAAGGTTGTGATGTTTTATCTTCTTTAACGGAAATTATAAAGTCGAGCCGCTGCCTCAATTGCATTTGAACCTTATTGTTCTCTCCTACACTGCCTCGGCCGCAAGCGACCTCGTCTTTAATCTTTTACAATCAATTAAAATATAACTTTGTGTCATTACTTAAAAAGGTTTTTTAGTTGTGATGTTTTATCTTCATTAACTGAAATTATTAAGTCGAGGCGCTGCCTCAATTACATTATTGTTCTCTCCTACACTGCCTCGGCCGCAAGCGACCTCGGCTTAAATCTTTTATAACCAGTTAAAATGTTTATTAATACAAGGTTGTGATGTTTTATCTTCACTAACTGAAATATGAAGCGCTGCCTCGAACATTTCACGGGTTTTTCCTATACTGCCTCGACCGCAAGCCACTTCGGCTTTAATTTCTTATAACAACTAAAATTTTGCCTCACTTTGCAAATATTTCGCACTGCTTAAGTTTTCTGAACGGAAAAACTACGTAATCACGAAGTAACATAAAATAACTGATAACTAATTTAATTACTAAATAATTCCTTTTGGAGGTATTTTGAATAACAAACACATCTTGACGATTTTCAGTTCAAGCTTATTCATTCATTTTTAATCCATTTCTATGACTGCAGATGTTGTTGCTATTAAAAGCATCATTCGTAATTGCTAAGAGTCAATTAGAGCAATTAGTAATCCTGATTTTGGAACTAAATTTATGGTGAAGTCATTTTGGGGCTGAATCAGCTTGTTTTGGTGTTGAGTTATTTTGTGGTTCAGTTATTTTGGACTTATGTTGGAGTTACTTCAGATTGTCTATTGGTAGTTGGGTTACTTTTTCACTTAGTTGCTTTGTAACTGGATTGGATTACTTAATAGTTTTATTACTTTGAAAATTGGTTGTCTTATCATTGAATAGTTTTGGATTTGGGTGTTTTGAGTTGGGATTAGGGATGACTTTGTTCGGAGTTAGACTATTTTGCAGTTATGTTCCTTTGGGTTTGGGTAGGCTTGATTGCGTTATTTTGAAGTTGATTAGGTTTGCTTCGAAGTTAGCTTATTTGCATTATTTTTTGGTTCTTTGAGGTTGAGTTACATTTTGGATCAGTTCCTTTGAATTTGGGTTGGCTTGGTTTGGAGCTTGCTTCTATGGGAGTTGAGTTATCTTGTTGCTAAGCTGTACTGAAATTAGGTTGGTTTGCTTTGTGTGTGGCTTACTTTGTGATTAAATTGCTTCAAAGTTGAATTGGGCTGGTCTTACATTTCAACGGTTATCAAGTGTTCCAACTCAACTTTCAAGTCGAATGCCAAAGAAAACCCAACCCAACCTAAAGCAAGTCATACCAACTCCAAAGAAGCTTAATAGCAAATAAACCAACCCCAAGTGAGCCAATCCCAAAATCTCTAACCCCATTCCGAAACAACTCAAGCACAAAATAACCAAACTCTTAAAAATTAGCTTCCTCTCTGTTCTCAGCTTCACTTAGGAGTACCACTTTATTTATAATATTTCACTTTTCGATATTTTATTTTATTCTTGCTTTCTACCGGTTTCAACATTTATTAATTATCATCAGGTTTTTATAACTTGCAATAGTTTTGAGTTCTGAGTCTTCGAAACAGAACACATCTAATGAATGTTTTGTCTCTATTCTAGTTACAGAATCAACTTCTGTAAGTCTCCTTATTAACTAAATTAAATGATTTTAATTATTTCAAAGAAAACTTATAATACTAATTTTAAGAAGTCTCGTTGAATGTACTATAACAAGTTAAAAATTTATATTTTAAATGACGGTTAAAAGATGATATTTTAAGATGAGATAAGAAAATTATGTTTGATATAAACAATTCGTAGAAAAAATTATGAAACAATTTCAAAGTGTGTTACGAATTTTAAACAAACATTTTATTAATCAGCTAAATAAACGATTAATAATCGTAGGTTTAGGAAACTTTTAGCACATATACAAATTTTTACCTTGTCACCCGTTTCTACATACATGTTTGTTTGAACAGGAAGACTGTGTCATTGTGTGACTTTAATTTGTCACAAACACATCTAAATAAACAGTTTCTTTTCTGATAAGGTTTCCACTTATATTGTGTCGCTTTTAATGACTTCGTAATATTTTATTTAAATATGTTGATAATGCAAATCTACAGTTTTGGACGAGATATCTTATTTGGTTAGCATTCGGGAAGAACAAAATAAGTCACAGCTTAGCTAGGCATAATTTACTCTGTAGCCAAGAATATAGTTCTGAACGATTTTAAGCATTTAATGCCATTCAGTCAAGCTTCATTTGAGATTGCATCGGCAAAGAGAAAGATGACAAGGTCTCAACAGGTTTAGTGATGGAGAGTGAGGTTAGAATTATCTTTTAGTAGAGTCCAGAAAATTTGATTTTGAGTTTGAAACATTTCGATTTTTTAGCCAAATAATTTTTTTGTGTTCATTCAAAATCATTCTTAGCAATTGATAGCCAACGATAAGTTTCAAAAATATCAATTATAGTTACTTATGACATAATTAAGACCCTTTACTTTGTGGTTAAGTAGTTGTGGAGTTGGGTTGATTTTCTGGATGAGTTGTATTGGACTTGGGTTGGTTTATTTTGGAGTTGGGTTGGTTTATTTTGGAGTTGGGTTGGCTTACTTGAGAGAAGCCTAGTTTGGAGTTAGGTTATCTTGCGGTTGTGTCTTTTGGTTGAGGATTTAGGCTTTGGAGTTTGATTACTTTGGATTTGCATTACTTTGTGAATGAGCTGTTTTGAAGTATTACATTCCAACTCAAACTGAGCCAACCCATCTCGAAATTATCTCTATTGCCAGGTAATCCAACTCCAAAATAATTCATTTGCATTAAGTTTAGGTTAGCTTGTTTTAGGCTTGGCTATATGCGAAGTTGGGCTACTTATGGTTAAACATCTTCGGATTTGAGCTAGCTTGGTTTGGAGTTTTCTTACTTTGAAGTTGAATTACCTTACGATTGAGCTGTTTTGGACTTGGGTTGGCTTGGTTTGGAGTTTCCTTCCTTATTTTAGAGTTGGGTTTTCTTGTGATTGAGTTGTTTTGGACTTGGGTTGGCTTGGTTTGGACTTTCCTTATATTAAAGTTTCCTTACTTTAAAATTGAGTGACCTTCTGGTTATGCTAATATNACTTGGGTTGGCTTGGTTTGGAGTTTCCTTCCTTATTTTAGAGTTGGGTTTTCTTGTGATTGAGTTGTTTTGGACTTGGGTTGGCTTGGTTTGGACTTTCCTTATATTAAAGTTTCCTTACTTTAAAATTGAGTGACCTTCTGGTTATGCTAATATGGACGTTAGTTGGATTGCTTTGGAGTAGAGTTGGGTTACTTCGCAGTGGCCTTGTTTTTAAAATTAGATTATTTTATCACTTAGTTGTTTTGGGGTTGAAATGAGTTACATTCTTATTCATTATTTTAGAGTAAGGTTAGCTTGCATTGGAGTTGGGCGACTTTGTCAATGGAGTTTTACTTAGCTAGGTTCGGCTATCTTAAGAGTTTAGAGTTTCGTAAGTTTTGAGTTTAAAATTGGATTGGTTTGCTTTCGGTATCACTTTCTTGGAAGTTGGATTGTTTAATGAGTTGAATTAGCTTTTTACATTACTTTGTCTCCAACTTCCATTGACATTCATCATCATCATCATCATCTCATTGGCAGCACGGTCCTGTAAAATCCTTGGCCTCCCGGATATCATCTTCCACGTCCACGAACTCTGATCGTTCGAAGATCCTTCTCAACGTCATCCTGCCACCATTTACGAAGTCTTTCAGCGTACGTTTCAGATGGCCCAGCCATCTAATTCGGATACTTTTAATCTCTGTAACAGGTTGTAAAGCCGTTGGGACGTAAAGCTCTCCACAAAGTTCCTTCCTGTCCTTGCCAGCAGATCAACATCATCAGCAGCATAGACTAAATAATGTGCTGATCAATTCAATAGTGTTCCCCCACCCAGGATTAATACTGATCTTCCTGTGTTTCAATACATGGCTGATGGGGAAAACCTCGGTCATCTTAAGAGTTAGGCTGATTTAACCAGAAAGCAAAATGGCATGGTTTGGAGTTTGCTTGCTTTGAAGTACTTTGAAGTTGAATTGCCTACTTTGGATTTGAGTTGGGTTATTTTGTGGTTGAGCTGTTTTGGACTTAGGTTGGATTGCCTTGGAGTAAAGTTGAGTTTGCAGTTAGATTATTTTATCACTGAGTTGCTTTGAGGTTGCAATGGATTACATTCTGGTTGAATTGGCCAAGGTAGTGTAAGATCCTTGGCCATTCGAATAACCTGTCTTCATTCGTCGCAGTTTCGTGCAAGTCTTCTCCGTCCTCGGATTCCCATCGCCCAAAGATCCTCCGCGACGTCATCCGACGATGTCTGCCCTCTGGTCTTTAGCGGTATATTTTCTTCACTCCTTAGTATTTCAGCATGCGTTCCATATGGCCCAACCATCTAAATCGGTCATTTTTAATCTCTGCAACAAATGTTTGCTCTTCGTGTAGCTGGTAAAGTTCGAGTTACGAGTTAAGGAGTTGCTGATCCACAATGGTACGGTATATTTGGGCTTTAGTTCTGCGCGACAACAATCGTGATTTATTATTTCCAGCATTTAGTCTCTCCTTAATCTCTATGTTGGGGTTTCTGTGTCTTGTATAAGCATATATTATAATGCAAAGTTCTCCACTCAGTTTCCTCCTGTCGTTGCCAGCAAATCAACATCATCAGCATAGACTAAATAATGTGCTAATCAATTTAGTAGTGTTCCCCAGGATTAATATTCATCTTTCTCGGTACTCCCACTAATATTAAAAAGTATACAAGAAAGGGTGTAGCCTTGTTTCAATCCATGGCTGATTTGGAAAACCTTGGCCATCTTAGGAGTTAAGTTGATTTTAACCAGAAAGCAAATTGGCATGGTTTGGAGTTTGCTTACTTTGAGATATTTGAGAGCTGTTTTGGACTTTAGTTGTATTACTTTAGACTTGAGTTATTTTGTGGTTGAGCTGTTTTGGACTTAGGTTGGCTTCGTTTGGTTGAGCTGATTTGGACTTAGATTGGAGTGCCTTGGAGTAAAGTTGAGTTTGCAGTTAGATTACTTTGTCACTGAGTTGCTTTAAGATTGGAATGGATTACATTCTGGTAGAATTGCTTTAAAATTAAGTTACTTTGTGATTTAGATATTTTGGAGTCCGGTTACCTTTCATTGTAGTTGGGTGACTTTGTGACTGAGTGCTTTAAAGTTAGGTTGGCTTGGATATCTTAGGAGTTAGGCTGCTTTATGATTAAATTTCTTCGGATTTGGGTTGGGTTGGTTTGAAGTTTCTTTACTTTAAGGTTGGAGTTATCTTGTGATTGAGTTGTTTTGAATTTAAGTAGTGTAAGATTCTTGGCCATTCCGAATAACCTGTCTTCATTCGTCATAGTTTCGTGCAAGGCTGCGGACTCCCATTGCTCGAAGATTCTCCACGAAATTTGTTATTTTGTAGTTTAGCCGTTTTACACTTGGGTTGGCTTGGTTTGGAGTTTCCTAATTTTAGAGTTGGGCGACCTTTTGGTTGAGCTGTTTTGGACTTGAGTTAGGTTTTTTTGTGTTTGAGCTATTTTGGACTTAGGTTGCCTTCGTTTGTAGTAGTCCTTACATTGGAGTTGTCTTACTTTAGAGTTGGGTTTTCCTCACTCCCTAGTATTTCGGGATGCGTTCCATATGGCCCAGCCATCTAAGTCATGCACTGTTAATCTCTGCAACAAGAATCCGCTCTTCACCTTGCTCCCACAAGTTGAGGAGTTGCTATTCTCTCACTGTCATCACTCACGTCTCACTCCCATACATCACCACTGGTCCATAATGGTACGCTATATTTGGACTATAAATGCTGAAATATACTCTATTTCCAGCATTTAGTCTTTTCTTAATCTCTATGTTGGGGTTTTTGTTTTGGGGTTAATCTTGGCCATCATAGGAGTTAGGCTGATTTAACCAGCAAATTGGAGTTTGCTTACTTTGAGATATCTATCTATGAGCTATTTTGAAATGGAGTTGGGTTGCTTTGGTGTCATCTTATTTAAGAGTTAGATTATGTAATTAAATTACTTTGAAGATGACTTGTTGGTCAAAGTAAGTCAACCATGAAGTAACCCAACATCAAAGCAACCCAACCTAACCCCATAACAACTCAACCACAATGTATTTAAATTTTAAGTATTTAAGTTGAAAAGATATGATTTCAAATTTCTTGTATAAAAATAAAAGAATGTTGAGTGTAGCCCACTCTCATCAATTATTTCATCTATTGTAAATATTATTTCTAATTTCACTTTCTTTCCTCTTATTTTAGATGTAGTCAGTGCATATGGCGGTGAAGGACAACTTGAAAATGTTGAAGAGAAGAATTTCTTCATCCTCTTTTTAAATCTTTCTTAAATGTAAGAATCTTAAATCTTTTTTTTTAACTTATTTATTATTATAAATCTTATTTTCTAAGCAATACTAATAATCAACTCCAAACGTTTCCTTTCCTTACAATTTAATTAAATTAAAATAATTAATTTGTTGATATTTTTGTTGATTTCAGATCTGCTCATTTTCCAACAACAACAAATAATTGCTGCACTCAATATAAGTACTAAAAACAACTAAAATTACTAAAAATGAAATCATTAATTTTATCCTATATGAAACAGTATTTTTTTAAAATAATATTTATTTATTAATTTTTTTAATCTTTCCCTCAATGTTATTTCCGATTATTTTTAATTAATTAATGTACATACATTTTTTTTGGTGTACTCTTTTTTTTTTAAATTCTATTTTTAAAAAAGATCATTTTGAGACTAAACGTCTAGTCTTTTCAAATATATTATTATTAAATCAGCGATTTTTTTATACAATGTGATATATTAATGTTGTATATCAAAAAAAAATCATCCTTTCTTGTGCAATTTCTTTCACGTCAACAAAAAATTGATGAATTAAGTTTCTTGTACATAAAAATATGGTACTATTTTTTATTAATTATGTAATCAAGAAATTAAAACAAAAAACCCCAATCTAAAACGCTTTTGCTCAAAGCAAAAATGTTTATAGATTCCTAAAAAAAAAATTAATTCTATTTTAATCGCAATTAGTTTTTAGCTATTTTTTTTAAGAAAACATTTTTTTAATTTAATTAATTATACGTAATTCAAAAAGTATTTATTAATGTTGTAGAGCTTATTTTTTTTGACTTTTTTTGTATATTGCGTAGAAAAAATAATAATAATTAAGAAAAACCGATTTTTTATTTACTCATAATCGAACCCTACTTAAAACCAAAACTCCTTAAAAGAAATCTTGAAATCCTCTCAAACTCTTCTTTCCCATAATTTAGCTTCTGGTTATTCACGCTTTGCTGCCGTGCGTAAACTCTCACAGACAATTCTCAAGAAAATAACAAAAAAGGAAAATGATAACCTCGCATTTTGAGAGTCAGGAGAAGATGTTTCACGGTGGCAGAATGACGCCCTCGAGGTGTCCATCGTAAAAATGAGGAAAACAAAAAATTAAGAAAATTGGTTAAAGTACGTCAATACACGCGACCCTTGGGCCTTCTTCATGGCTTCTGTGCGCATCTTTCACCGTTTTTAAAACCTTCCGGCATTCACTCTACGTACTCTACATTTTTTTAAATATTTTGAAAAAGGTAAGAAAATTTATTATTAAATTTGTCAAAGCAAATGTTGTTAAAGCATTTTATTTGAACTACATCGATATCGCCGAGATATCTTATAAAAGAGTAAACAGAGTTGCTATTTATCGTACCAAATTCCATTAATCTTTTAACACGAAGTTTAACATAAAGTAATAATAAAAGTTGTTGTGAAAAGAGTTTGTGTTTTACATCAATAAAATCCTTTTGGATATAAGACCTACTTTATTGGTGTTGCCTTTTTGACACCTCCTTACACTATTACATCGTTTGATACCTTTTTGACAGTGTTTAACACGTTTTGACACTTTATGACATTGACATTTCTTAACACTTTTTGAAACTAACTTAAAATCTTTCTGGGAGTTTATTGTTTCATAAAATATTTGCAGAAAGAAACAAGGTAGGAAGAAGTCTTGGAAGATGGGAAGAGAGATTTTGCAAAAAAAGCCAGAAAGAAAGCTATGACTGATTTCTATCAAGCTCTGCTAAGAACTTATTCAAGGTAGATGGGTGGGTAAGTAAAGTCAAAACTTGTTTCTGAACAATCTACCTACTTATTTACATCGTTATAGCTTCTTGTTGACCTGCATTTACCATCTTTCTATTCTATACCTGATTTAATGTAATAAATAAGTGTAATGAATTTATCCAAAGTTGTGCTGCAATATGTTGGGTTGATTTATTACAAATTATAGAGCTTCGGCCACAAGCTTACCTTGATTAGGTAATACCGTAGTGTGTCTACTTTAAATTTTGCTAAGATCGCTTGCAGCCAAGGTGTTACAATTTGTTTGGCCAATTTAATAATTGTAGTATTAATTACAATTCCTCAGTCATTAGCGATCTCGGATTAATGAAGTAAAATCATAGAATCTCCAGTCTAAATTGGTCCAAATTCCTAGCGACCGAGGTGTTTTCGCAAGCAACCTCGTCTTGCATATTGTCAACTTTAAAAGTTTAGCCAAGGTTGTTTACAGCCAAAGCGCTACAGTTTGTTTTTATGCATCTATGACTCTACAGCCCGTATCGACCTTGGCCACCCTTTCATCCCTGTCCCGGGTCTCTCTCCTCCAACTCCTATTCCAGTTCATCTCTTCTCCCATTCTGATCCCATTCAGCCCATCTTAGGCGTTGGAGTCTGACGAACTGTGCCAGTGGCTGATCTCTATAAATCTTATATAACTCGCAGTTGTATCTTGATCTCCATCCATCCTCCTGCAGAACTGGCACAAATATTCTCCTCAAGATCCTTCTCTCGAAGACATTCGCGCTTTCTTTTACATCGTTTGATACCTTTTTGACAATCTTTAACACGTTTTGACACTTTATGACATTGACATTTCTTAACACTTTTTGAATCTAACTCAAAATTTTTCTGGGATTGTTTCATAAAATATTTGTAGGAAGGAACAAGGCAGAAAGAAATCTGTGGAGATGGGAAGAGAGATTTTGCAAAAAAAGGCAGAAAGAAAGCTATGGCTGATTTCTATCAACTTCTGCTAAGAACTTAATTAAGGTAGATGGGTAAGTAAAGTCAAAATTTTTTTCTGGAACACCTTATTTGCTTCGTTATAGCTTTTTCTAACTTTTTGTTGATCTGCATTTACCTTCTTGCTATTTTATACCTGATTTCTGCACAATTTGGAAATAAACTAACGTATTATGGTGTAATGAATTTATCCAAAGTTGTGCTGCAATGTGTTGGGTTGATTTATTACAAATTATAGAGCTTCGGCCACAAGCTTACCTTGATTAGGTAATACTGTAGTGTGTCTACTTTAAATTTTGCCAAGATCGCTTGCAGCCAAGGTATTACAATTTGCTTGGCCAATTCAGTAATTGTAGTATTAATTGCAATTCCTCAGTCATAAGCGATCTCGGATTAATGAAGTAAAATCATAGAATCTCCAGTCTAAATTGGTCCAAATTCCTAGCGACCGAGGTGTTTTCGCAAGCAACCTCGTCTTCATTAACTGAGGTTGTGTATTGTCCACTTTAAAAGTTTAGCCAAGGTTGTTTACAGCCAAAGCGCTACAGTTTGTTTTTATTCATCTATGGATCCACAGCCCGTACCGACCTTGGCCGCCCTCAGCCTCCATTCATCCCTCTCTCCTCCAACTCCTACTCCAGGCCATCTCCCTAGCGTTCCGGTCAACTGCTTCTTCCCATCTCTATCGATCAGTCGTCCCGGCACTTTCTCTTCTCTCATTCTGATCCCATTCAGCCCATCTTAGGAGTTGGACTCTGACGAACTATACTAGTGTCGGGTCTCTATAAATCTCATACAACTCACGGTTGTATCTTGATCTCCATCCATCCTCCTCCCAAACTGGAACCTTCTCTCGAATATATTCGCGCTTTCTGCTGACTTTTGCGTTTTCGTCCATGCCTCACTCCCAAAGCTTACCAGTTTAGTTTTTCGGTGTATATCCCGAGATCTGAATATGGGGGTCAATCCAGAATAAGCTCTATTCGCCAGGACTTCTGACTTCTCCTTCCTGAGTACCCATCCCAGATAATTCTACCCCAAGGTATATAAGTGAGGCACCGCTTCTATGTTATCATTTGTCGCTGTCTCGATACTGATGTTTCTCCTCGTCTGTGGCAGTAACTTTGTCTTCTTCGTGTTGATCCTAAGCCCCACCGCTTCAACACCATCCTTCAGCATTCCATATGCCTCCTCTGTCAGACTTAGTGTTCGGCTTATTATGTTTATGCCACGAACTGTACTGCTTTGTTGATTAGCAAGCCTGTCCTGTCGAGCCCCATTTTTTTTATTACATATTCCAGCACCCGGTTAAAAAGAGTGGGGGCCAGCAAACCTCCCTGCTTCAAACCATGATTTAAATATGATTGAACAAGAAATTGAACATGAACAAAACAAGAGATTCTGAATATCCGTAAAAAAAGTTGTTGTGAAATGAGTTTGTGTAGAGTTAGTTGACCATTCCGTTAATTTTACATCAATAAAATTCTTCTTTTTGCAACGGATATAAGATCTACTTTATTGGTGTTGCCTTTTGGACACCTCCTTACACTTTTACATCGTTTGATACCTTTTTGATAGTGTTTAACACGTTTTGAGACTTTATGACATTGACATTTCTTAACACTTTTTGAAACTAACTCAAAATCTTTCTTTGACTTTATTGTTTCATAAAATATTTGTAGGAAGGTACAAGGCAGAAAGAAATCTGGGGAGATGGGAAGAGAGATGTTGCAAAAAAGCCAAAAAGAAACCTATGATTGATTTCTATCAAGTTCTGCTAAGAACTTAATTAAGGTAGATGGGAAAGTGAAGTCAAAATTTTTTTCTGGAACAATCTACCATCTTATTTGCTTCGTTATAGCTTTTTCTAACTTTTTGTTGATCTGCATTTACCTTCTTGCTATTTTATACCTGATTTCTGCACAATTTGGAAATGAACTAACGTGTTATGGCGTAATGTATCCAAAGTTGTGCTGCAATGTGTTGGGTTGATGTATTACAAATTATAGAGCCTCGGCCACAAGCTTAGTACTTTGATTAGGTAAGATCGTAGTGTGTCTACTTTAAATTTTGTCAAGATCGCTTGCAACCAAGGTGTTACAATTTGTTTGGCCAATTTAGTAATTGTAGTATTAATTGCAATTCCTCAGTAATAAGCGATCTCGGATTAATGAAGTAAAATCATAGAATCTCTATAGAAATCTATTCCAGGCCATCTCCCTAGTGTTCCGGTCGACTGCACTTTCTCTTCTCCCATTCTAATCCCATTCAGCCCATCTTAGGCGTTGGAGTCTGCCGAACTGTGCCAGTGGCTGATCTCTATAAATCTCATACAACTCGCAGTTGTATCTTGATCTCCATCCATTCTCCTCCCGAACTGGCCCAAATATTCTCCTCAAGATCCTTCTCTCGAAGACATTCGCGCTTTCTGCTGACTTTTGCCTCAC